CTGCTTCTCCCTCTGACCCTCTTCCCTCTTGTGCTGTCTCTCATTCTCTCTCTCAAATAAATAAAATCTTTAAAAAAAAAAGACAAAAACCGAGGGCATTTGTTGCCAGGACATGCCTTGCACGGAATGTGACCAGAAGTTCTTTAGCGAGAGGGGAGGTGATGTGGATCAGAAACTCAGATCCGCGTGGAGAAAGGCAAAGTATTGTAGAAGGAATAAGTGCAGGTGAAAATAAGAAGTTTCCTTTTCCCTGTCCTTCAGTCATCTCTAGAAGCTAAATGTTTGAAACGAGCACAGCAGCACTGTATTCGACTGTGTTTGCTTACTTCGGTGTATGTGTTTGCGAGTAAGTGAAATGAACACTCCAAGGATGCAAGGCATGACAGCGAGGGGTTAGGGTTATTTTATTATAAAATCATCCCAATCTTTACCTGTCACCTACAGTTCTAGCTGTTGCTGGGCCGTGAGGCCCAGAAAGGAGCCTCAGTTTGGTAGTATACACATCTGTAACTGCCACCGTCCCTGACTCTCCGAAGGCGAGGGAGCCACGTTCCCTGATGGTCTCTGGGACGTCGATAGGCTCAGGAATTCCCCGCTTCAGCAGAGCCCACATGATAAATGCAGTCTCGAGGTCTGTCTTCTGGCACTGAAGAGTCACGTTCTCTCCTGGTGTCACCATAAGCCTCTTCTGATTGAGGAAGTTTGGTTTAGGTAAGCTTCCTGGAGGAGAAAGAGGGTCAGAAATAATGGGGAGAAGCTCAGGGTGCCCCTCATCCCTGGTGTCCTCGAAGGTCTTTCCTGGGAGCATGGGACCAAGGATACCAGACACACGTTTGCCCAGCTGTGGGCAAAGTCTTGTCGAGGATCAGAATTTCACTTTCATTAATCTCCAAATCAGACTGCTCCTACTGTCCTCAGGCCCCTCTGTGGGAGCAGAGACCACTTCCTGTCCTCTCCTCTGAGTTCCTCTTCATCTTTTATGCTGGGGGTGGGGGCAGATGGGTCAAGCCAGACTCTTTCTGGGACACTTCCTTCTCACCTGTAACCACGAGAAGGACATCTCTGGCTGGGGAACACTGGCGGGGGGCCTCTGTCCGGCAATATTTGCAGGTATATTTCCCCGAGTCTTGCCGACTCAGGTTAACGAGGGGGACTTCAGCCATTCTTCCTGAATGATACACGGACACCGTGGACTTTGAGGGTAGCAGGATTCTTCCCTTGCTGAAAGTAAACTCTACATTCCTGACAGGAGTCCAGCATCTTAGGGTCATGTTACTCTTGGCAGGAACCAAAAAGCTGGGTGAGGCTCTGAGGAAAGGCTTGGGGAGTATCCCTAAAAAGAAGTAGAGCCTGGGGCTGGATTTGATGAGCACGCCAGTTCTCAGGGGGCCCTTTGATGAGATGTCACCTCACACCTGTCAGAATGGCACTCATCCAGAAAACGAGAGACGACAGGTGTCGGCGAGAAGGAGGAGAACAGGGAACCCTGTGCACTGTTGCTGGGAATGTAAGTAGGGGCAGCAGCTACAGAGAACAGTAGGGCGGTTCCTCAGAAAACGAAAAGTAGATCTACCCTTCGATGCAGCGACCCCACTTCTGTGCACATAGCTGAACGAAATGGAAACACTGTCTCGTAAAATTATCTGCACCACATGTCCTCTGCAGCATTATTTATAACAGCCAAAACATGTCCAGTGATGAGCGAATGGATAAAGAAAATTTGGTGTGTGGGGGCGCCTGGGTGGCTCAGTCGTTAAGCGTCTGCCTTCGGCTCAGGTCATGATCCTAGGGTCCTGGGATCGAGCCCCGCATCGGGCTCCCTGCTCGGCGGAAAGCCTGCTTCTCCCTCTCCCACTCCCCCTGCTTGTGTTCTCTCTCTCGCTGTGTCTCTCTCTGTCAGATAAATAAATAAAATCTTAAAAAAAAAAATTTGGTGTGTGTGTATGTATAATGGAATATTATTCACCCACAGAAAGAAGGAAATATTGCCACTGTGTCAGTATGGATAGATCTGGAAGTATTGTGTTAAGTGA